GTATTCTTGTGTTAATAACATTTAGCAACTTAACTTTCACAGTAACTGAACCCATTCAGATAAATGACAGTCAATCATCACATTGGCAATTTAGCGGCAACAGTAGATTAAGTCCACAGATAATGAATAAAAACTCAACATTTCAGTATGCTGCAAAAGAAAACTGCAACAGTAAAACTTTGAAGCCAAGAGCTCAGGAAAGACGAGTTTAATTTGTATGTGAATACTGCAACAGCAGATAAAGAAGAAGCTGTGAAAACAAAATTATTTTGGTATCTGATTGAAGAACAGAAAAAAGGGATGGGAGAAAACTATTCTGTATAGACTTTCTTCATACCCTTGACTGCAAGAATGGATTTTTTTTTCAGTGCAACCCATTAAAATTATTATTTCAGTTGAGATCAAGGAACAGGAGAAAGCACTGACTGAGAAGTGCATTGATCTGCAGATACCATCAGTCAATAGTAATTTTAGAAATATTAAAGATTCATTGATAAGCACTGGACAATAGTTTAATACATGAAATAAAGATGAAAAATGGTTGCCATGAGATTTATTTTGTAAAAAACCGCAAAGAAATGCAGGATGGGTAAATTAGTTTAAGACAGAATTATTCAAAAGTTGCAAATACAGGTAGTAGAATCTGCTATAGTCAAAGAGAAAAAAAATAGAGCAAGAAATTGAAATCAAAAACAAAAGACAGAATAGAACTGTTTTCCCCCAACATGTGCCTTCCTGTTATCCTGGACTAAAATTCCCAGAATTCCCAGCCACTCTGACCAATACACAGGGATGGCACTTGGTTGGGATAGTATATAATATCTGGTGAAAACATAAAGAAAAAAGAGAAAATTAAGAGAAGAATATTGAACCATTTTGTATTCAACTGCTTATTAAAAACAGAACAATGAAGACTACATTTTTAATGTCCATTTTCAAAGATTTAGAAAAAAATCTTACATTTATTTAGACCATGAATCCAATTAGATTGTGTTACCAATTGCAACATCATCCACGTATTCAATAATCCCGGAATATTTTATTGGTAGAGACTAACCAGCTGGCAGCAATGTTAAACCTGTGAAAAGTGCAAACTCAAAATAGGTAGGTGGTCATCGCTCCAAAATTATACTACCCAATCTGAGGTTGGGAGATAAAATAGTAACCTTAGAATTGGAGAGGCAGTTTCCTGGATTAGCCATTTTCTTTGACATTGTTCTACATCAAAATGGCACCTTCATTAGCAAACCATCAAGACCATGTCTTTCTATCTCCTATCTAACAGAGTAGGTCTCACCATTAACCTCTGGCTAGACTAGCACACTATGATAAGTCATTATTTGCATAAACATAATCTATAAAATGGTAATGACTGGTTCTGCACAAAATACAAAGCCAAAACCAAACAAATCTTCACATGGATCCAATTTCTGTCTCAATTATGATCTCTCCCCCAATATTATTGGAATCAATATCTCTTTCCCTTTACCCGGAAGAAACTTCTCCTGAAAAGAGAACAGAAAAAGAACAGGCCTAAGAGCTACACTGAGCTGACACTGTACTTCAGTCTCCATCATGCTGTTTATTTGTAAAGCGACGCTAAAGGTGGCTTCAAGAGAACTTCAGCCTAAATTCCCATGGAGCTATCCAAGGTGCTACACAGGACTTGAAGAGAAAGAAATTAGATCTTGATGGTTTGTTCATCAACAAAAAACTACTGTGGACATAATGTGAAATTCAGACATAATATAAACATGATAACAAATCAAAGCTAGTATACAAAGGGAAGAAGAGCACATAAATAGAAGTAAAAATCCATTATATATAAAAAATAGATTGTGATTCTGTAAAATAGCTGGATGTAACCTGTCAACATGGATTCTGGGCAAAACTGTGTATGGATTTGCTTAGTGGGGCAGATAGATCAATCAAACACATTTATTCATACACAACTAAATTATTCCTCCCTCCCTCCCCCAAAAAACCACCATCCCTACACAGGTAAGCAGCAACTGCCATTCCATTGCAGATTATTTTATTTTTATTATTAAATTTATATGCTACTCACCTCCCCCAGAGAGTGAGTCTCTTCCAAAAAGAAAAAGGAAATTAGTTAAGAACATCTCCTTCTCAGCTATGCACCAATGTCCACTGTTCTAGAATTACATCCGCAGACTAAGGCTACTGATAGCTTCTAGTAATAATGTCTTTTTCTAGTCATAATCTCCAATAACAAAGTCAAAGAAGTCTCAATACCATTTGGTAAGAAACACAAGCAGGGATGCTATTGAGCCCATTGCTTGCTGTAACCCACTGTTTTATTTTTTTAAGAATCCTCTGGAAACTATTAAATTTGTACACCGCCCAACTCTGAACAACTATGTTGAACCAAGGGACAATTTTGGAAATACACATTAAGTTTAAGCCTGGGATTTGTTTTGCTGTACTGCTCGTGTCTTATTCATTTCTAAAAAATGATTTTTACAAATACTGTAGGCAGCTTTGCAAGATCCAAGGAACCTGTCTGTTGGACACAATTACCCCCAGGGAGTGGAAACAGAATTTAACCCAGTCTGTAAACACAGCCATTGCAAAATAAAACATTAATATCAATTGATTTTTTTAAAAAAAGCATCACAAAGATCAGAAAGAACTTTAGCTGCTAGCTGAACATTAACAGATGATAATAAGGGAGAGAATAATCATTTAAAAACTTTAGAGAGATGTCAGTCACTCACTATGGCTTGTCAAGGTTGCCAAACAGATTGTCTAAGACCTGCTATCCCTGTGCAAATAGAGCAGGATGTTACTTTTATTTTTTCCTGTATTGGGAGGGTTAAAGGTAGGAATGGTAGGCCTCTGACAAGCCAACATTTCCCAGTCCCATTTTTACAATCCCTCCCCCAATACCCCATCCAATCCCCCAGGACCCCGAGGCTTCCGATTTCCATTCCTGCCCTTAAGGCAGGGGAAAAGACCTTTCTCCACAACATCCTACAACCTTCCAGAAAGGTCAGGAGACAAAGCTTAGGCCCCCAGCGTAGATATATTGTCCATCTCAGTGTAAAACATGTTGATTAGCCTATTTATTTAACAAAGGGAAGTGGAAGGTGGCCTGAAATTTATCTCCCATTTTCCTTATCTCTGTTCAGTTGCTGAACATAAACAGTACTTTTAGATTTAAGAAACTGTAGGCAGAGATTAGAGAATGGCACTCCAGGGGAAGAAGTGATAGTACGAAATGCTATGGACCTAGCTTCAATCATCTTCAGCACCAGAGACAAATGTGGGTCAATGTACAAAAATGAGGAAGATTAATGTTACTACCTCATTTCAGTTCTGTCCATCTTTTTCCCCCCAGCGGGCATGATAACATCATTATCATAACAAGTGGGGGTGGAAAGAAAGAATCACCAAGCCTTGCATAATACAAGGTAAATCCACTGAAATTGCCAAGCAGAAATTGCTCATATAAATGTACAAGCCAAACTGTTCAGGGAGAAAAACTGACAGCCCCTCAGGCACACGTTTGAATTTTATCTTCATCCATGCTAGCGACCTATTTACAATTCTCCCAAGAAACAGATTCTTTCCTCAACCCACGAATTATTTTCCTTGACAAGACTGTAGCCACTGCTTCACCTTCAGAAAGTAGGACCTTTCTCCTGCTTCAGGGAGTGGCATAAACCCATCAAACATGAGATAATTTTACCAGTTTGGTTTTACATGAAATGAAATCCTGATGGATGATAGCCTCATCAAGCAAGCAGCCCTTATACAGGAGCAAAGTGCCAGAGGTTTAGTAGACCTAAACTATCTGTAGATCACTTGGGAAGTTCAATATAAAATAATAAAGATTTTATATAATAATTATAGCTGAACAAAGCATTGAAGGGGTGTTTTGCTTTGACAACACTTCATGGGAAGCACCTCCTGGGAACTTCTCTGCAAAGCCAAGGATCCTCCTGTTTCTACAGAGTAAAGTGAAGCTGCCACTTTGTTTTTATGCTGCTCCAATAGCCTCTTCTGGCATTTCTTGTGAGCTACCAGAAACACCAGAAGAGGCTTCTGTGCATGTGCAATGCATTGCAGAAACCTTCTCTCTCTACTGGAAATACTGGGGGAGGCTCCTGGAGCAACCCAAAGCGCCTTGATGAGGCAAATTCCTTTGCCTAAATGCCTCAATGGAGTGGACAGCATCATCTCTGAAAACTGTGACTGCCTCACACAGGTCTAATAATAGTCATACATGGTGCAACATCATAAATGTCCCCTATAGCAAACTTAATAAATATGTTCAGTAATCCATATGTAATTATGAAAGATTACTACCTAAGATCAAAATACTTTTAACTAAGAGGACAATATCTTGATCAAATGCCTGTACCCAAAATATATTAACTATTCAAAATGATGCAACAGTTTGAATCAATGCTTCCATTCAAACTGACTTGTCAAATCAAGTCAATAATATGAACTGAATTAATTCAACATCTCAAATCAAATCTTGGATAATTTACACATCACTAACAAAAACTGGAAGATGTGAACATCTAACTACTGTAATCCGGAAGCATACTATCTTCACACCAACCTCATCCTCACAGCAGACACAGTTTTACTTTTATAGTGCTACTTCTAGGGCTAAAGAGCAGATTCTTCCGTTAACAACTTCTGCCTTCAAACTATAGTTGCAGTAGCTCCCTTGACCCAACTATCTTCATTCTGATGAAACTAAACAGAAATCTGTTAGTAAAAACTCTGTTTCAGTGTCCGTCAAACTTCATGCTGTTCACTGTGAAGACAACATAAACTGTTCCTTGGTGATTTCTAAAATTATCTTGTAATTCTTGAGAAAAAGCTTACCAGAAAACAGATGATCAAATAGTAGTTAAAATTTTAAAACATGCTAAGGTAACAATTTGATCTTTTGTTGTTAGTGATCTTCCATTCCAAAAAATGAAAGTGAGGAGTCAGATAAATGATAATTAAATACTCACCCAGTCTCCAGTTAATGTCCTGGGTTGTGTTATCTCTGTTCAGAGGCTTGCTGGACACTAAAGGAAAGAAAATGAGAGAAAGAATACAGGATGTTTACCAATGTTCTTGAAAACAATAGAATTGTTTTTTTTCTAGAAGTTGTTATAGTTAAGACGCCTCCCATTTGTTTAGAGCAAAGATAAATCACATGTATTATGTGGGTTCATGTGGTTCCTGAATCTTTTTTATGAACTGTGTTAACTATGACTCTCAAAATGTGGCTTCCACAGGCTTTTTTAGGCATCCAGAAACACACTCAAGCTTCCCCATTAATACACCTTGGAGTTTTGCTGATGCCGTTGCTGAAAACCTCTTGAGTGGGAAATGATAATGGAACACTAAGATAGGATTAACTGAGCTTTGTCTTCTCAAAAATGCCTCATTTCCTTCAAAAAGAAATCACTATCCAGCCTCAACTATATGTATGGGATGACCAACCACTTTGCATCATTGTCCCATTCACTGCAGCTCTTAATTACAGCACCAGGATGCTGTATCAAAAGGATGTCCATCCCTGATGTACAGGATCTAGATTTTTTTTTCTGTAACTTGAGTCACCATAAGATGTTCTGTACCTGATACATAAATCATATATACTGATACAAAAATGTAAAATGTGTATAACGGATCCTTCATACCCTGATAATTCAACCCACTTTGTCACCTACATGCACAAGATTGTTTAAACAGTCATTATTTTCATCTATCCATCCATTTATTATCATGCTCATATATGACCAGAATCTAAAGTATCTTGTGCAGGAAATATTATGTAACAAGGATACTCATAATGGTACAGTGCCTGAATGTTAACGTATCCTCTATTTACTACAACTTAGTCTACCTAGCGGTTAAATTTTTATATGAAGCTGCAGTAGTAGTTTTAGTGAACATCTATCTGCCATCTTATACGTCTCCTCGCTTTTCCCCTAATGTATGGTGAATTTAGAAAATTTAGTGCTGAAGATAAATTGTAATTACCCCAGTGCTATTATAATTTTAGTGGGAGATTTTAATGCCAGAGTTGGGGCTTCTTTACTTGATTTTGCCCGGATGGGAGTTATTCCTGAGGATTACCTCACTAATAACTTACCCTGGTGCTCCAGAGATTCCAAAAGAAATATGGCGGGTTCATGTTTGGTCTCTTTAATCTATAAATGCAACCTTCATATCCTAGGGGGTAAAGACTCTGGCTTCATATACTCTTTTACATATCATTCAGGAAATGCCAGCAGTGTCCTAGATTACATCTGTGTCTCATGAAGCAAGTCCGGGCTCTCTTCAGACATTCAAGCCCATGCGAGAGAGGACAGTGATCATCAGCCAATTACAGTTGGTTTTCTAACCAGATCGGACACTAGACCATCTATGCCACATGATAAGAGGCTATTAGCAAATATCGAAATTAGGCAGAACAAAAGGCTTAGGTGGGCCAAGGTAGATACTAAGGCATTATCTACCCTTCTAAACTCAGAACAGGCCCAGTCCTGGAGAAACTCTACCTCTACCCCTACCCAATGCCCAGATAAGATCCTGATACGCCTATCTGACTACCTCATTGAGGAAATTCCTAATTGATAAAGCTCCTACTAGAAATCATTATCAATCCAGTATAAACTGGTTTGATTATGACTGTTTACATTCTAGAAAACATTTGAGGACAGCAATGTGATTGGACCAGAAATATCCTAGCTTAAAAAATCATTCTAGAATGTTACGAACTAGGCATGAATATAAGAAACCTATTATGTCTAAAAAAGCCCTTTATACTGCTAAATTATGGGCAGATTTGGAACTTTCAGCAAAAGGAACTAATTCTATTTTTTTCTGGAATTCCGTTTCAGGTCTATTGAAGGAATGCAAATTCCAACTTGATATTCCTATACCTGCCTTAGCTTGGGAGGATTTTTATACAAGCATGTTTACAGACTCAAATCAAAGCCACCCACAAAAGAGATTAACTGAGTCCACACATTTTGAAAACCTCCCTCTTTGGCCTCCTGTGTCAGTAGCTGAAGTTAAATCCATGAT